GTATAAGCGTAGACTTATAGTATTATATATAGAAAATGGTATTCACCAGAAATCCTAACCATTGATATAGTACGAGCAGCTATGACCATGTATAAGTTTCATATAATACAAAAATAATGCAATTAATTTAACGTTAGAAACTTATTATTTCAGATTTATGTTACTTTTTTGAAAATATTTCTTTTACATAATCTTAAATCGTAATAAGATAACAACCGTTAATAGTTTTTGAAATAATTAATGTCTTAAGTTAAATGGATCATCTAGTATATATAATATATATATGCACATTCGAAATAAGCAAAAGAACACTACTGTAATGTATGCGTAGGAATACGATTAAATTAAAAATTAAAAAATATACATTGCAGAAAAACGCGAGGTCTATACGAGAATATTACCTACGGATAAGAATAGTGATACAAATAAAATAACATGACATTTAAGTGATTTTCAAGAAAGATTCAATATATTGATGTATCTATCTCAGTGGTTCTTAACCTTTTTTAGTTCAGCGCCCCCTTTATCGTAATAACTAATTGCTAACGCCCCCTCGTGCAAAATCAAATTTTCTTCTTATAAATATATATATATTTGTATATTTATTTATTCATCAGTATATTATAACATTATTAATTAAACTATTAAAGTAAAAACTCTTATTTTTAGATAGTTATGATTATATTTTACACCCCTTAACAAAACAATTTAATAATTTACTATACAAAAAGATTTACTAGATTCTATCTTTATTAAGTGTGTATTTTTATGTACTAGGTAAAAAAATATATTAAAAGGGGTAGTTTTAAATTTTAAAATCACGTATTTCGAGTTGTTACTATTTTTTAGCACTGCTGGTGATATTTCATATAGTATAACACCTAAACATGCGTAGTAGAGTACAATTTTTATTTGAACAAATTAACTTAAAACACAAAAATTTAGAAAATAAATATCGTATATGTAGATAGTATAAGAAATTTTAACAGATATAATTCAAACATAGAACCCTAATCTAACATAGATAGTAGTTCAAAATATCTGTTATTAATTTACAATCGAAAATAATACTTTTAGTTCACATTTTTTCGACGTCTTATATTTTATTTATTGTTTATTTTTATTCAATGTAATTAAATAACCGTAATATTAATTAAATATTAAATTAAATCATTTAAATAATTTTCGTATAAACGTTTTAGATACTACATAGTGGAACGAAAATGTTATTTATTTTATAAAATCAGTGCAGTGTTAAGTTTTCTCGGGTGGAAAATAATTTAAAGATTGTTTTTTTTTTTAATATGATGCTTTTCTATCTCTTACTAAGTTATGAGAAAATAGGATTCCTTAGTATAATTAAAATTCATTATTACGAGATTAAAATTTTTTATAATAGATGTACTATTCAGTGGCTATACATAAATTATATCTTTAAAAGAATGGTTATTATAACTTAATACTTATGCGATGTATAAAATATAATCAATAGTTTCATAAAATTTCAGAAAGGGGAGAGAAATATATACATACGTGCGGGTGCAGTGCACTTGTACACCGATTTTTTACAAAAAATTTATATTATATTATTATTTAAGACCACTAATCACCGCACAGGCAAGACGAAGCTGCGGAAATCAACTTAAGCAATTGTGCGGGATCAAAATAAAATGTGTATGCAAAATACATAAATACTTGTACAGAAGTTATGTGCATACGGAAGAATAAGCTTTTGGCGATGATACAGCATCGTTTGAAATTGTTGGCTGTCGATACTCTGTGAGTAATGCATCAGGTGGATGATAACGCAAAAATTGTTTGATCAACTGTCAAACAGAGAGGCAGATAAAAATATTCGGAAGAATAAAAATTTGACGCTGATGCGAACGCTCCCGATGGTGTATCTTTATAATGCTTCGTAAAATAATGTAAAAAAAAAGCGCGCATATTTTGAATTATTAAATGTAATGTATATTTACATTTTGTAATAACTTACTATGCAATACGAATAAATAACTTTGATAAAAATATAATCATTATGTCATTTAATACAAAATTCGTTCTAACATATGTATATTATACATTGTACAAGTCATATAAAATACGAATTATGGTAAAATATGTACATAATCTAAACAATTAAAACTAAATACCCCCATCACATACATCTTCGTCATCCTCTTCATCACTCAAATCGCTGTCATCGTCTTGTAATGTAATAATTATTGGTTCTAACGGGACATCCCTCATAATTTCTTTTTCATTATTGTCGTTTTGAATTTTTTCGGCATGTGCTACACCATTTTTCCCAATCTTTTTGTGTAACTGTATCCATAGCTGCGTGCGCTAACTTTCCAACGTCTGCCACCTTAAAGGTGTTGTTTTTGGTTACTTATCTCCGTTTTAATCCGTATCCTAATCAATTTTATAGGATTACAATGAAAATGTTATGAAATTAACCGTATGACTTCATGATCCATTTTTAGTGCAATTTTGTCTAGCTCATACCGTTTATACGTTGAAATGGGTTTTTACCCGCTTACGAAATTCGGACAATCGTACTTGTGGTGAAAATATGATATATTTTTTTTTAGACACTCTTCGACGACGTCTTTTTTTGATTATCAATTTTTGGAAAGTTATTCATAAGCATCGAGTGGTAGGATGCATTGTTTATGACGACGACTGACGGTTTTTAAACACAACACAACATAATATTGCATACATGTAATAATCGTTGCCGAATGATGAAGATCAACACAGGGAAGCAAATGTTATGTATACAATAGACATTCCTCATTTACAATGTAATATATGGTATGATGTCATACAGGGACAGGACCCCACCATAAAATAAAACTACAATCACCGAAGGTCACAATTGGTAACTAAAAAAAAAAAAAAAAAAATAAAGCAATAATAATGAAGGGAAAAAGGGAAAAAAGGTCTATTAAAGTGAAACCACCCGTAGTGCTGCTTGATGGCTGGTTGACGATGTTGTACATCGATCACGCTTCACATTACTCAGATCGAGAAACCCTGTTTATTAATTATATAAAAACGTCTCTATCATATTTAATAGCGGCCAACATAGCAACAATGATTGCGTTTCCTTCAGACTGATTGCCTAACGGAGATTATTGCGGTAAGTGTTTAAGAAAAACAGCGGTATACTCCCACAATAGGTCTCCACGACCGATCTTCAGCGATTTCTTTGAGACTGATTATTGGAAAATATATTGTTTATCTGTGAGAGAGTATTCATCACAATTATCGCATTGTCAGTTAGTCGGTTTGATGGAAACGCGATGGACACCAGCTTCTTCCTCCACATCGGTTAAGAGATTCTTGATCAAATTGTTTTCGCGTGCCCTTTCATGAATGTGTATATAGTATTGTGTTATGTAGTTCGACGAAATTACGCAAAATAAATCTATAAGATTCTTTAGATAGTGCTTTTACGATCCTCATCACTTTGGTCAACCGTTTCCCGAACATGGGGAGTTGAGGTATGGTGAACATTCTTTATCTAATGTATGTAATATATTATTCACAGGTTCTTGATAGAAGAATGACTGTACATCTATTATTTATAATTTATTGTATTTATACATAATAAAATCGTAGTGTATACTATTATATTGAGTAGTAAAATCCAAATAAAATGTTGCGTAATCGATGTGAGGCTCAATAATTGTATAGGTACGCCTATACTCGTATGTATACTTCATGTACAATAATTATAATATTTTATAATAATCTTTCATGAACTATCAAGAACTATAAAGTTTTTTAAACATGCAATTTTGTTGACATAGTTTTTAATCAGAGAATTCAGTTACGTAACTATAAATTAATTGTCTCCGTGAAAATTTAGTTTGAACTCCATGTATTATTGCCTATTTTATACAATTTTTATATTTATCAATTTTTAAACAATTGTCAAGTAAAAATAATAAAAAAACGTAAAAGAAAAAAAAAATCTCTTCGAATTGAACGGTTTTAAATAGGTATAGTATTATGATAAAATATAATTTGAATAGTTTTTATTTTAAGATTATTTATTAGAATGATTTATTTTAATAATAATTCATAAAACATAAATAAGACATTAGTACTAACATTTTGTCATAAATTATGAACAATTGATTAAGACAAAGTTAAAGTGATACGTTTTATTTTAATACTAGTACACAAAGATTACTATTTATTGGTAAATAAAACAAACATTTAAAAATTAATTTCAATTTGAATCGCTGATTGTAAATGATAATATTTAATTAGATTATTATTTTAGAATTTGATAATATGTAGCGGTAATAAAATTTACTCATTCTTGGCCGGTTGGGTAACCGTAACTTAAAACTATATTACCTATTCAATACTGTAAAGTATAAATATCGTAAATATAGTTATAATATATGAGTTGATGTAAGCGTATATGACGTGCATCGGTGTAGTGTGCAGTGTACCTTAGTACCTGCATAATATGATATACTCACCATGTACAGGAAAATTGTTAGGTATGTAGTTTTATATTTTAACATTTTTTTCCGTTTATATCATATGTCCTATCACTGCAACTGCGGCAGCCATCGCAATGATATATTACTCGAGTTTATAAATCTGTTAGCACGTGCGTTTTACAATGTACATACGTAAATAATATATACGAAATGACCATTTTACAAAAGAGTTGCGGGAGGCAAAGGAAAAATAATATTTCTTATACGCCTATATTATGGTATTATAATATGTAATGTATAAAATAAATATATGTTATAATGTTTTTTTTTATTATATTGTAAATGTATGGTTTATGATAATTTTTACTTTTTTTAATCTGCTATTATCCTTTCTTTTTATATTATTACATTTTTTTTTTTATGAAAACACGACTGTTTTAAAACTAAATTAGTAAAATTATCGTAGTCGCAGCCATTTAATCAATCGTTCTAAAAATAAAATATATAATATATGATGTATCGTGCTTGACTTACATTCGAACAAGGTACCTCGGCGACCAGCTGTTTGGCCACGCCACGTCCTAGAGCGTCGCGTTTCCTCTGTGCGCTAAATAGCCTCAGCTCTTTACGTTCTTCGTCCGATAACCCTCGACAATACCGCACCTCATTATCGTGTGGTGGTAACTGCTGTAGTAGCTGCCTTACCCGGTACCGCTCACCTGCCGAGTTCAGGTATGGCACTTTGTCTTCGGGCACACCCGAGAAGAATAAGTGCACCTAGTAAAACAGATGAAAATAAAACCAAACATTATTAGAATATTGAAAATCAAATAGAAAATGAAATTAATAGACTTCTCAAACATCCAGGTTTAATAGGCTTATAAGTTATTATTATTATAAAAAGATAAAAAAGGAAAGGATTAAATATTAAATAAATCATAAATTATATATCTATTAGTCACTGTAAACAACGCGGCAAATAAATTAATTTCACCTGATATTGTAATACCTATCCTGTATTGTAGATATATTGTTTGTTCATTATAGTTCAACGAATTTCTTCTTATAATAATTATATATTTTTATTTAATTTGAAACTTAATTCAATTTAAAAAATAATTAAACTGATCACTACATTATATTATTGATTTGTGTGAAAAAATGATTTAATAGTAGCTATACATTTTAGAATGTTGTATTAAAAATCGTCGACAATCGTATCGTTTTGTTGCAAAAAAAAAAAAAAAAAAATGTAATCATTTTTTGGGTCATCATCGTCCGCAATTGTGTTACGAAAAAGGTAAAACGTTTATTTTATTTACCCCACGACGATATATAAAACATCGATTTTTAATTTTACGATAAGTAATGTTTTGTCATTGTTTATCATATTTTTCGTCAACAATAAATATGACTGAAATAAAAAACGAGATGGTATTTTTTTTTACGGACGAGTACCTCAGATAATAACTCATACATATGCATATATGCGGTGCGTTTATTTATTTAGTTTCCCTATTTGACTTTAGGTTGTTGACAAATGTATATTTTAAAATGTACTAAGTGAGAGTTAAATAAAAAAAAAATATGTTATATTCTGAAATGTTTGATGTTTACATTCCTAACTAATCACAATGGGGGGTAGTAAAATATTATATTTGATCTGAATTTTTACTCTCGGTACTCTAAACTTTTTGTAAGGGGCCTTTAATTAAATTTCGGGCACTTTTTGGTATTTGGAACTCGAATGCGCATTAATTAAATATCCTAAATGTGTTTGAAAACAAATATATATTATTAATTTCATATATATTTACGCATAACTAAATGAATTGTATTTATGCAATGAAATTATAAAAATGTGTTGAATTATTCGGGACCACGAAAAGACGAATGTATTTTCACGAGAACATTTCAGCAATGCATAATAACGATTTATGTGTAAATATTTCATTTGCATTGAGTGAACCGAGTATGGCGTCGGTCTAACCCACATACATATTATTATATATTATAAAGTATAGGTTGCAATAAAATTCCATCGTCACAATAATTGTTCAATTGCATTAAGAACTGGTGGGTTTAAATTGAATTATTGATCTCGAAGGACGCGTACCTTACTACCTAGCGCAGTCGAGTTTATGCAATAAATTATCGTCTAAAAATAACAGCCTTCAGAGATGTCTAATTAACTGTAAAAATTCTCGCCAACATTATAATACACACATATAAACACATTTAACCCGATTAATTTACATTAATAAATGTATGATTAACTCGAAAAATATATGCAAAGGTTTATCCGGATTTCATTACTATAGCCTCCAGAGTTATCGTTGTATACGGTTTCCGATTCGATCAACACGTGGGCGTGATTTGCTTAGGACGTTTTATTAATTTGAATGAACGAAGCGCGATCGCTGTTATTAAACAGTGATCGTTTTGAATATAATTATCATTAATCATCACGTGTGGCTATATAGATTTGGCTTTATGTACACTGATTTATACATAAAAAGAGATACATGTAATACTTGTTTAATATAATATATTTGAAAAGAAAATTATAATAATAAAGACGACAATATTCCGTTCACGTTCACGAATTGTTTTAGAGACGATATGAACCCGAAATGATTGAGATAAAAATAAAAAACAAAATCCTAATAACGTATACATTATTATACAAGACTATGTAATGTATTGTTCAATATGCTTATCTCAGTCGAAGTTTTCTAATTTCCACATGCACACATAAGAGTGTAAGAATGTCTAGCATACGTAATTTTCCCGTTTGCTCTGAGAAGTTGTATCAATTCGAAGGGATATGCATAACTGTTATACATACCACACGTCACTATAGTAAACGATTTACCTTTTATGGACCATTTGATGTTTATAATCATAACTATAATATTAATTTGGTTCTATAATGTTATTATATTTAGGTTTATATATTTACATTAATATTGAAATAAATTAACCAACCGGTATATACACGATTCACCGTGTGGTTCAATCTAAAAGGAAATACATTTCAAAACGCGTTATTTATGAGACGTCATTATATCATAACACACAGTGTTAGCTGTATTTTAATGTCAATTAAATACATACTATAATATATTCTAGTTAAAAATATTATGGTCATTGAGTACGTAGTGGTAAGAAAAAAAAGGCGACTGCACGTAATTATGTGATTCATATTATTGAACTATAATGGTACTTACAATTTGTTCCAAGTCATAAAATAATTTTTAAAGCTTGTGTTAACATAAATTATTAGGTTATGGTCTCGATGTTGGTAAATAAATTAGTTTGCTTCCCTAGTCTTTTACTTAGTTACGCTGCTGGATAAGACTACAGTACTACGCCGGGTCCGGTGAAAAATAAAAACGTTTTGAATTTCGATGCATCGGACAATTATTAGTAGTGCGGTGTAACAACATGATTAGAAATCACCGAATTTGATGGATTACGTAGAACACGACGTTACAATAATATAATAAAATACTCATATACAATGATTTAAACTAATCTGTTTCGACGGATACGGAATAAGGATATATCTATCTAGTATCTACATTACCTATATTTATCTAGCGATGGAGTGCGTTAATATAATAATAATAATAATAATAATAATATAATACCTATAATATATAATAATGTGTTGCTCGGGGTAGACGACGTGTTTGTTAATAACAATGGGACTTCGTAATTACTCTGACGGTAATTTATGGACGTTTGTCTGGGCGTCGGCATACCTATAGTTGTATGTATTGGCAGGCGCGTGCTATATATTAAAGCTGTGCGCATGGAGTTCTGCCGATCAGACGTGCGACAAATGATATTCGCTGTGCAATAATAATATATTATACTGTATATATAATATATACAGGACCTCAATGTCACTGTGGTGTGTATATATGTATATATATTATATATATTATAAATAGGATGATTTATAAAACTTGCTCACCCCTATTTCTTCATTTAATATTCAAATTTTAATTTTTGGAATTTTTAAATACACTTAAAGACCATCATACATTTTTAAATTATTGAGATTATTTTTTTCCGTTTAACGAGTATCCTGAAGCGGTATCAACTTCTATTTTTGATAATTACAGTGTAATTTGAACGATAAAAATTTATTTATACTACAGATTAATAGTACTCAAAAATGATTTTACAAAACTATAATATAGATATAATCTAGTATTATTTTATTATACCTTGGTTATTTTTACAAATTTTAAATGTTGAAAATGTTCAAATTACCATAGCCTCCTGGCCTTCCAAACTCATTATATCATGGGTACTTAATGTTAAATAACTCAAAAACTACTCGTTTCAATTATGATTTAGATAGTAAACATTTTTAGTAAAATTATCTGGTAAATAATATACAGTATCTAGAAAAGGGAGGTTTTCATTTGAAAAATATAAGTTCATATATTCACAGAACACTATTTAAGTTAGGTAGATAGTACAAAATAATGATAATTTGAAGATATGGTCTAGAAGTATAATTAAACATTTAAAACAATTAAATTTTTAATAATTGCTTGTTGTAGAAAAAAAAGGGGGTGAGCATGTTTGGTGAACCACGCTATACATTTGTATACACGGTGATAAAGGACGATATAACTATAAAACTGACGTGCAGAATCGCGATTGTATGCAAACCTATAGATATTGATGTGAATTGATGGTAATAATGGGGTCTAGTTTTGGGCGGGGGGAAATGATAAATCGCTCTGGGAATTGACATGAGTCCGTCGAAAACACGCATAATGTAGTGAATAGTGTATATAGATAAATAAATTCACTTCACCATGTTAAACTTATACATAATAATATGTATACTATATATATATAATATAATATGTATTGGAGTGTACATATTAAGATAAATTATAATACATATAAACAGTTATAACTTATAATGTATATTAATATACATATTATATTATTATTTTCCATCTAAAAGTGATGTGGAAAGAAGTCATTTAGAAAATGTCTAAAAAATTACAAAAAACTGCTGAAAATACGTAAGTGATGTTTTGATCAACAATTTTATTTTTTATAATTAACAAAAATGTCACATACGCTCATCCAGGATCGAAATCTTCGCGGTTTGTTTCAAGTATTTTATCTAATACGTTTGTTTAAAGTAAGTTGTTATACAGGCGTAATATCTGAAATTTGTATCCCTAAGAAGGTTAGTCGTTTATCAAATTTTATGCGTGTATGATTTTATACGTCTACAACTCGAGTAGACACTGCTGAGGTAACTCGCACTGTATATATCTGAATGGCAGATACAAATTTAAACGGGCTGGCGAGCTTAACATTACAAGAAAAACAGAGAATAAACCTTTTTTCTTTTTAATGTATTACAATAATATTATACGAGGTGTGCATATTATTTTAATACGTTATAATCAAACGGCCGCGGGGGGGAGAGCGATACATCTCTCGCATGGGCGTATACGTAAGTATACACAGGAATAATATTGTAATATGTACTGCTCTGCACTAGAGTAGTTCAAGAAACCACACTGCAGGTCCCAACACATTTTCCTATATACATAATATAATATAATATAATACTATATATTATTCATACACATGTGTATTCGTATATATATATATATATCCAAACGGTAATTACTGCGTTTGATTAATGTTAATGTATAATATAGAGAAGTCGCGATGGTGTTGGGGGTGATGGGGAGGGGGTTAGCCCGCTGGGTAGCGTGCGCAGTCCA